TATTATTATTAATTTAAACCTTATTTTAAACTGGGGATAGGGTAAAGGGTACAAGGGGTAAAGGGGGATAAAAAGGAGGGCAGAAGGAGAACATAAAACATACTATCACCAAATCTTGTTGTTCATGTTACAATGTTGAGCCAACTTTCCGCTTTTCTAGTTTGATTGCCTTTCCAAAGTTATTGTTTTCTAGAATACAGGCACAGCTCAATGGGCATAAGATGGCCAACTAATAGATCCATTAATGACTATTGTGAGGAAATAGATTTTCTTTCTAGTCAGCGTAATGGTTTTGCAGAACATGCCTGAGAAATGTACATACATTGATCAAGAAACGCCTTGAGTTCTTTCAACTGAAAATAAGCGTCTTCATTGTTTTTTATTTATAAGCACAATCTTTTGGTTGTTGAAGACACGGTTCTAAAAGTAAAATTGACATGCACTTGCAAGGAAGGAAACATATGGATGTCTTTCTTTTATAATTATCTCATATAGGAAAAATAGTTTAACAGAATCGGGAATAGAATATTCTTGCACAACACTGTTAATAGCATTTATACGGTATATAAACGTGACTATTGGACATTTAACAGCGACTAGAAATTGTTTAAATAAGCCACACAGTCTTCAACTAGCAGCAGCAGTAGTAGCGTCTCACACATTCACATTTCTCTCTTCCACACAAGTTTATATACACTGAGTAAGTCATTAAATATTGCACTTATTGGCCCATGATCCCTCAGGTTAAGAGGTGTTCAAAAATAGAAAAGAAATATATTTTTATAACATTTCCATGCAACATTTAAGACACTTCAGCTCCACAAACACTAGTAAATAGTATACACATTCTGACAGTCCAACTGAATCACAACACAGTAGCTGACATTACCAACAATATATTGAACAGGAATAACAGCACAGTTTCCATTTAACACTAGCTTGCAAAGTACATGTCAGGATTACCCACTGATATCGAATGATCATGGTGAGTGAGTGGGGGGGCAAGTCCTAGGGTCCATTTCACATATTTAAGGAGGGATGTAACATTGCTAAGAAGGTAGGTGGTGTGTTCTTTCTCCTGAAATACCAAGGTGCAATATAATAATAGCAGATTATCTATTCAGCTGCCACTGTAAATATGAATTCCAGATTTGTGAAATTGCCACAGGCACTTGCTAGGACAGGGGTGAATTTTTTGGAGGGGGGCAAGTTCCACAAAGCAGTGGGGTCAAGGTGAGGAAAAGGAGAGGAAAAGAACAGGAGATGAACTGATTTTGTTACAGTGAACCACTATTTAGAATGAGTTGGCATGAGAAATGTTACAAAGTTATCATGTGAATCGTGGAGTGAGATATAACAATTGTGTTTTAGGAGTAGCATAGAAAATGGACATATGAAGGAAAATGTGTATAATTATTTAATTACAGATTATCCTGAATTCCAGTTTTGCAAACAGAAGTCCTTCACAAAACCAGGTTTTAGTCGGATGTACGTGAGAGAAGAAACTCCCACCTTGATTTGATTGTCTGATAGAAATAAACAAACCAGCATTAGTCTGCTGTGGTTATGGGAACTTATGATGGAGACTGTTGGGATGAATCCAGCTATGTCATTACTCTTCTAACATCCAAAGGATTTAGGCCAAAGACTCACCCTTTGGATATTGGTGTGGACTACGGCAGTGGGACTAATGGCCCTTTAGATAATTTGGACTACAAATCCCAGAATTCTTCACTATTGGCTAGGCTAAGTGGAGCTGATGGCAGTTGTAGGCTGAAACATTTGGAGAACCAAGGGTCCTAACTTCTGCCAAAGACCGTCCAGTGACTTACTGAAGACAATCCATAATTTACCAGTGCTTTGAAACTACCTGAGATCCAACACTTTTTAAAAACCTTTCTAACACAAAAAGACAGAATATATGAACAATCTGTCCATGTCAAGGACTGCCTCTTTTCATATGATGATCTCCCAGTGACTTGTCACTCCATGGCCAGTATCCCATGGAATAATTACATTAATTCAGATGTCAAGGACTGCCTCTTTTCATATGATGTTCTCCCAGTGACTTGTCACTCCCATGGAATAATTACATTAATTCACGGTAAGGAAACTATTGTCCTCTGGAGGCTACTGAAGTACAACTCCTGTCACCTCTAACCAGAATAATGAATAGTGAGGAATGTTTTCAACTGCAGTCTGACAGCATCTAGAGGACCACACTTTACCTATCTATGCTAACAGAACTACTTCTAGCAATTATCTCTTCCTGCTACAGCTCCCTGTACACATCCAAAATGGCCCTTCTGGTGTTTGGACAGTGCAGAAGGCTAGAATGTGAGAGGAGAGGAGGGGAGTGGAGAGGAGAGGAGATGAGAGTCCTGCTATACTAGCAAGACATACACTAGTAAGAGGAGAGGAGAGGAGAGGAGAGGAGAGTCCTGCTATACTAGCAAGACATCCACTAATGTGACATTAGATGCAGAACCATAATTGCATTTGTTTGTCAGAATGAACAAAGATGTTTTCCACCCATTAAAAAAAGTACATTCTCATTACTTTAGTATCTCCACTGAAAATGTAATAAAGATCCCTACATACAACAGTCCAGAATTATCCACAGATTTATCTGTTTTTCTAACACAATCTGTACGGGATCTTTGCAATTCCAGAAGCAATTGACAGGTTTAATCACATAACATGGATGGACATCCCAGTACCTTATGGGAAAAGGTATCCCTATTCAACAAGATGCCCATTTACATATTGCCATCAGAAAACATGCCCATTGAAAACTAGCTCTAGTGACGGTCCAGACTAACAAAAATTTATCAATAGACATAAACCTTGTACCACTGCTAAATCTCCTAGAAGAAAACACAACATTCTAATAATTCTGAACATTAGGATCAAACTCCAGTGAAAATAGTGCACCATTAAATACCACGTCATTCTTAAAATAAATAAGGTGCAGGCAGTATAGCTGGACATAACAGAGCTGAGCTGAGAAGGAAGAAAATATAATCTTTCAGACTCGTGCTCTGGAAAGGCCACAGAGATCTAACTGCAAGGTTGTTTCTCTATGTGGTATACCAAGGGCTTATTCCAGTTCACAGGTAATAGTGCAAGGAGCAGTTCACTTATAATAGAGGTGAAATAAGTATCTATAGTCCAGTTTTTAAGAAAGTTGAACAATGCATTTTTCAGCATGTGGCAAGGAATTCTCATGCTATGAAGAGGGACTAATCAAATGTGCTGAGACAGATTTGTCTCAAATGTCAAGGAAAATTCCATCAGGAAGTCTCAGAGGAAAGTCTGAAATCTCACTGTCCAGGAGGACAGAAATTATATTCAGTTTAGCTCCCATGAAGTGCCCCTCTTTCTTGACTGAGCACTGGTGTCACTCAGGCTCACACTATGGGCTAACAAGGTAATTTAGTTCCTCACCACCAGTGGTGTCACTAGCACTGTCCAATAGGAACTTGATACATATGCATTACCAAGAGCTAAGATGGCAGTCCAAGGGATAGAGAATTTCTTTTTAACAGTACAGTAACCATAAGCTGAAGACTGGGAACATATGCTATCTCTAACCAAAAATATTTCCCTAAGCAAGATGCTTGTATCCTGCAGAAGACATGGGTAACTGTATTTCCATTGCATTATTAACTGATCATTTGGAAACGTCCTCAGTATAAGCACAAAGGAATAAATGGTTCCAGGAACAGTCACATTCATTGCAACACAGAAGACACCTGCTTTGACAGAAAGGACAAGCCAGCAATTTTGTATTTCAGGACACCAAGCAACCAGATCTAAAAAGAAACATTTTTTTTAAAAAAAGCCACCTTAAATAAAGGTCACTCAAAAGAACAGGTGCATTCCATATCATTAAAACATGAACTTGCCGCTTGACTGATAAAAATATAATACAAGACTACTGTGTTTTGACTTCACTGGTGCTACGTGCCTGTGGAAAATGGAGCATGCAATGCATGTGTTCCTGTTCCAAAAAGTGGAATCACAGAGACAGTATTTTGCCCCATGCAAAAAGAGCTGCTTAATGAATGCCACAAGAAGTCTCACGACACTTTAAAGGCAAGCGAGCTTTATGTGGTGTAAGTTTTTGTGAACCGCAGCCCATTTCATAACACACAGGATACCTGTGGCGAGCACGGCTAGAGTTCACAGGAATTTGTGCCAAACAAAACTTTATGCCACAGGACTCTTTGTTGTTTTTCTTGCAACAAACTAAGTGACCTGCCCCACTGGCCTTTTGAGCAAAATATTCAGCAATAGGCTGGGCGTTGTTGTATTCCAGCGTGGTAGCAGCTCAGCTGGCACTGAAAGAGCAGTTGGGGGCATGGCTGTGGCCCCAAGCATGTATTTGTATTCATTACAGCAAGAGTTGGGGAACCTTCAGCACAATAGAAGTTGCAGCCACCATGGCAAGGGGTTCAAAGGAACTGTAATCCAGAGCATTTTGAGGGCCATTCATTCTCCATTCCTGAATTAAAGAATGAGTGAAAATTTTTTTTTCCAGCAACCCAGAATACTGAAGTAACGTAAGACATGGTTTAGTATTTGAATTAGCAAATATTTTACATAAACATTCCTGATTTGGTTATTCACACTAATTAAAACCTAACCATTATAGAAATACTAGTTTTTAGATGCTATATATACCGGGTTTTTGTTTGTTTGTTTGTTTTTGCATTGGAGTGTTTTGATTTTCTGTCCTGCAAAGCAGTTTTTCTGGGTTAATCTCTATCACATTATCTTTTACTGATAAGATGAAATATGGTTATAATGTCTTCATCCTCCTCACTCCACTTTGGTAGCTGATAATAACAGAATGTTTGCTATTTTTTTTCTCCCATGTGTCTCTCCTTCCAGCCGGGCAACATTCTGATATACTGTCTTCACTTTACAAAAGATCTAAGACACAGTTGAACTCCCTATTTCAACTGGTTTCAACAGGATCTCAGCAGGTGTAACATTCACTGGATTGTGCTTGCAAGATGGAAACAGAAAGGTGAGGGAAAACAGAAACATAGTTTTAATAAGGAACCTAACCATTATAGAAATACTAGTTTTTGGATGCTATATATGCCGGGTTTTTGTTTGTGAGGGAAAGGTGAGGGAAAACAGAAACATATTTTTAATAAGTAAGGGGAAAATAAGAAAGTCTGGAGTCTGGTTTTACTTTGTTGTGTTCATGGCCATTATTAAAAAAAATGACATTAAAATACTAAAGAGTTAAAGTAAGCAAAAAAGAGAAAGAATTTAAGAACAGAAAAATATTTCTTAAAAATAAATGTATGCTTCTAAAAATGTTTTCTTTAAGCTTTGTCTTTAATAAACTCTCTCTCTCTCTCTCTCTCTCAAGTACAGTTCTTGTAATGACGGCCAATCTACATTTGGATGCAATACTTAAGCTGCAGATGTTGGGTTATCATGGCTGAAAGGTCCCATGTTAAAACATGCAGAAAACAACCCTACATATAAAATAAATAGTTGTGACTAGATTTCTCACTGACCTGTTGCTTTTCTATGAAGACTGTGAGACTCCTCACCTATAATGGTACAGTCCACACATATTTATCAATTTACTGAGAGCGAGTCCATTATGAAAAGCAAAGGGGGCTCTGGAACCACAGGGCTGGTTCAGCCAATGATACAGTTTTTCTGCAACAGAACCACTTCTGAGAAGTGGGGATTGAGTCTTTGAGAGATTAGAAGAGACAAATCTTTTCTCCCTGACATGATAGTTTGCTTCCACAAATGCACATTTTAAAGACTGTGCTTGGGTGGCCACCTGAAATGGGGAAAGGACGGAAAGAGAAGGGTAAAGGAATATCTTCCATGCTGCTGCTTTTTAAAATTCTCAATCACCCTCCTCCAAAATAGTTTTCGAAAAAGTACACCACATTGCCACTTAATATTGCCTATTATTTCCCTATACATTCAAAGTGAAGTTACCTCTCCTGGAAAATCTGCCCTGTGCCTATTGCAATAATAGACTGTATTTTACTAGCTACTACCATCTCCATTTTCCCTAGATTGTTTACAGACAGAGAGGGTCCAAAATATTTTGCAGAGGCAAAAGACAAGATGCCACCCTTCATAACAGACTGGCAACTGAATCTTACTTAAGACTAGGAGTGGGACAGTTTCTCCTGCCTGGAGAGACAGCAGGTTGAACAGTGTGGAGCTGGTCGCCTTTCCCCAGCACCTGACTCCAAAAGCATCTGTCTCACTCTGCCTAATGGTAGAACTGGCCTCATCTAAGAATATGTCTAGGAGCACAATTTAAAGACATCTGAAGTCTTTCCTGTCTCAACGCAAACCAAGTATTAAGCTTTGAAAGACCCTATGCTTCTGTCCTTCTCTATGGTTCTGAAAATATATAACTACATAGCAAAAAATGCATGTGTCATACACACAAATCCATTTACACCACAAAAAGAACTTACTTGTTCTCTTTCTGTTGTGCTGCTCTCTACTTTTGTATTGTTTCATTTTTTAAAATTATATGTATACTTCTATCTGATCACATAAACTCTCTGAGGAGGGCACAAAACAGTAGGTCCTTGTAGGCATAATAACCATAACAAATGCTTTTAAGAATGTAAAAAGACAAGATCAAAGGTGTTTCTAGTTCAGCATTCTGTTGCCATGGTGGCAAATCAGATGCCTCTGAGAAGCTCATAAACAGCTGAAAAAGGATGCTGAAAAATAAAAGAATCAAAATCATCAAGGGTCTGGAGCAACTTCTTGGTTATGAAAGGTTACAAAGTTTAGGGTGTTTTCACTTAGAAAACAGATGCTAGGTGCTACAAAAGAAAAGAAGAGAAGCTGTTTGGTCCTTATGCACAATCTGAATTCCAATGGGGGACAATACCTTCAATAGACCACTAAGAATCACAAACATAAGCTAGCTTTCAGTGTCATACGGGTCTTCATCAGACTGGACAACATGTAGCTACAGATGGTGCAGAAGGAAACACAGAAGTTGAAAAACCCATGGCTGTAGGTGGTCCGGGCTTCTCTGCTTAAAGCATGTCCAAAAAATGGGAGATACAGACTCAGAATTCACCTCCAATGGTGTGTACTGGAATGTCTCTCCCAACCTTGTTTGACAAAGGGATGCCAGTCATACAGCTCCCACACCCTCGGCTTCGTATCAAAACACATGATTCCTCTCTGGCTGGGAAAACAGATACATAGAAGCATACCAGAGAAATTGGGATAATTCTCTTTTTTTTACACACTAGGTAAGCCAATTGCAGTCAAAATAAAATATCACCTAGTAACTGGAAGGCTCTGTCATGTTTCTGCATGTCTTTATTCCCAGCCTAAAAAGGAACCATATGTTTGGATGTGGTGCCTAGCCTGATAAAGAACTGTGCAGGGTTGAAAGCTAGGTATCATGATTTTTTAAAAGGTATAATAAAGGATCTCTGGTGGCATAAAATCTTCTATCCTTTTTAGGAATCAGAACTGGAATTCTTAAATAACAGTGGCTCTAACCACACCTTCATACTAAATAAAAGTATTTCATATATCTACATATTTACAGGCATATGTCTAAATATCTGGCTACTAAGGCAAGAGTTGATGAAGTGGTATGTAGTCAATGAAAGCTTAAGCCCAAACAACTTCTAAGTTTTTTTTTTTTTTGCTGCAACAGACTAGCACAGTCACATCACTTTCACTTGTAAAGGTAGTTTACCTATAAATATATGTTCACTAACTTTTCACATGTGTTTTGGAACTGTGTAGATGAATTGCTTCCACTGAAAACTATTACATTTCAGTCAACACTGAGTGATGTAGATATTTTGTCTAGAAGGATGAAAGCATCATGTATATTGATGTATGAAATAGCTTCAGGGTTTTCAAAGAGATCATTGCCATACATAGGGCACAGACAAAGCTTTGCAGAACTTCCACACAAAGAAAGACTGGTGTTTTCACTTCCATGAGAGGAATATCTGGTAGCCATGATAGGGGGCTTCTATCAAGTACCTACAGCAAAGATGGGCAAAATGAATCCCTCTGGACATTGTTTGATGGGCAATTCCCCTGAACTATAGTACTATTCCTAATTGACACAAAAGAAGGGAAATCTTGTCAAGAGGCACTTCCATAACTATAATGAGAAGCATTAGATCACAGCAACATCCACGGCCTCACCTTCAGGCAGAGTGAGGCAGCTGCCACTGGTAACAGATATGGGTTGTCCTGAAAGGGCAACAGATTCTTACTTATCCAATTTGTTATCATTGGATTTTAACGGCCTTATATGGGGCATTAAAATCTACTCAGCCCTAGCCAGTGCAGCCAATGAGGAAGAATTCTGGGAGCTGCACTCTTAGCAACATCTAGAGGGCCACATTTTGCTCACCTGTGAACAAGAATAAACATGGTTTGCCTCATGTACCAAAATCATGTGGCTGGTTTTGCATCTTATATACCTTGATTTGACTAATGGTGGGTCTTACTTTCTATTCCACCTCAGGCAACAAAATATCATGGGCAGGCCCTGCATAGCAGATATGTTTAGAACCATGACAGAACATGAATAGCTTTACAAAATGAATATTTTGATTAGATCTACTATCAGCCGTTCAGTATATCTTACGAGGACAGCAAGAGTGGTGGACTTTTAAGTGCTGCCTTGAATGTACAGCTAGAAGCATGTCTGTATTAATTTCATGTTCCTCCTGTCATTCTATAACTTCTCTTCGTTCCATTTTCATACAGAGTTGTGAAGTTTAGAGAAGAATACATTTCCTTCCCTCATCTCAGTAATGGCCCTCCAAATTCCAGGATATTTCCCACACCTGCCGTAGTGCAAGCAATTATATTCTTTGTGGTGCAGACAAGCACACTGAGAAGAGCAGGCGCTATCTCAGATTTTACTATTCAGAATCTCTATTCATCTTATAAACAATTGATGTCTTGACGCATTATTCAACTTTTAAAACATAATCCATGCCACACCCTCTTTTTTTCCCATTTCAAATACCCTACCTCAGAGTGACCAGTACAGATGTTTAAAGTATTAAGGGTGCACATTGTGTTTGCTCCTAAAACTTAAACAAACATTATAACATGGTTTGAATAATGGATATCCCTCAAAATTAAGTGTTCCATTGAAGGGGGTTCTAAAGCTCAGTGAAAAATGTGATAAATAATCAGACTTTACAAGATTGGTGGCTAAAAAAACTAGAGAACTTTTATGTCTCAGCTCTAAACAGAAGTCCTCCCTTCCACCAAAGGTTGTTTGAGAAGCAGGTGGCTGTAAAATCTCACCCGTGCTGTTGCTTAGGGAGACACCTGTAGTTTTCCTAACAGGCCAAGGTCACCTTGCAGTGCACACCTTCTCTTGGGAATTCAGACTCTCTGGCAAGTTATGTGGAAGATACAGCTGTGTTTGCATGATTACTTTACTAGCTTTCTGCATTGTTAATATTGATTTAGAAGGTCAAACAATGTGACTGCTGGATCATCACCCCTAGAAGAGGAAACAGCATTAACTGAAAGTGGATAAAGGAAGAAAAAAATCCAGACAAAATGTGGGCCTGAGGTCACAGTAGCACCAGCTGAAGTCGAGAGGGATCAATATGAAAGAAAAATAACTTTAAGAGAGAAGACAAACGCTGACATCTATGTGTAGGGGCCACAATGCTGAGAAACTAGAGTCCCTTCCTTCGACATTTGCAATCCATCCCACAGAATACCTCTATGCACATACTGTACCAGCAGTGGACACTGAAGAAGACATATCCCCCAAATGAATCAGTAAGACATAATAAATCAAGGCATATAGACCCTAAGTGAATACTCTATTGGCAAAAGAACACACTGGAGCTGCCTTTGTCAACAACAATTCTATTAACAACCACAGTTGGGTTGCTGTGGAGGAGGGGTGTCCTTTAGTCTTGTGTTCTGTTTTCCAGCAGCAATGGCAGGATCTGTCTCCAGGCTTTCAGACATTTTTTCACAGATGATATCCACAAGCCGCTCAAATGTCTGCTTGACGTTGATGTTGTCCTTGGCACTTGTTTCAAAGAACTCAAAACCTAGTCCAACAAATGAGGAAGAGAAAAAAGTTGTTAAGCTTTTTTTTTCTGTTGACAACCATCCAAGATGCACTTTTGAATGAGGTTTAGAGGGCCATAAGAAAGGTCCAAGGCAAATAAAACTGGAATAACGGGGTTTAGTGGAACGATTGCATTAAATCAGAAGCTTAAATTCAGAAAAGTGCAAAATTTGTAGAACTGCAAAATTCAAAGAATAATTATGCATGTGCCAGTGTGAGGTAATGGTTGGAATGTGTTAGGAGTCCTGGGTTCAGCCCTCCAGTTGGACCAGAAATGCATTGGTGAGTTTGGACCAGTCACAGTTTCTCCAAACTTCTTGTTTGGTCTCTTTTTAAACGTATATTTAGGTGGTCAAAGCAGACCACAGTTGCCTCAGAAAGTGCCTGCATGAGACGATTTTTTCCCTGACCGTTGCATAATGTGTAGTGCCTGTTCTCATGTTCTATTTCTTCATCATTATGGAGCGCATCTGCAGCTACGTATTCCTGGAGGGATCCAGGAAACATTCATATGGACCAAAGATATTGTGTTAACAGGAATGAAGGATAAAATAGCACTGCTCCACCTCTCCACTTGGAGAAGCTGATTCAAGTGATAGACAAAAATCTTACTTCAGTCTTAGCAATGGATGAGCATCCTCTAACACAGTGGTCCCCAACCTTGGGCCTCCAGATGTTCTTGGACTTCAACTCCCAGAACTCCTGGCCAGCAGAGATGGTGGTGAAGGCTTCTGGGAGTTGTAGTTCAAGAACATCTGGAGGCCCAAGGTTGGAGACCACTGCTCTGACATACTTGATGGCAGTTTGGACATGCAGAACAGGATGCACAGTGTCCATAGCTCTGCCCCCAACATCTTAATGCTGCTTCACAGCAACTGCCACCTGAGGTAGCCATCTCACTTCGCCTAATCATAGGACTGGCCCTTGCAAGTACAAACAGTGCATAGTGAGTATACAAGACATTGTTAGGGATGTTACACATCACAGTAGATGCAGTCTTAGTGATTTTACTTCACTTTCACTATCGCTTCTCAGTCTTTTGGCTGAGATCAAGTGTAGTGTACTTCACTCTCAAAAGCAACTGTTTTAACATTGTGGGAGCAATTATCAATACATATATCCTGGTTCAGGGACTACATACTTTTTCTTGTTCCAAGGCTAGAGAGGAAAACTGGGTACATCTCTATGTATATATCTTCCCCATATAGCTTTTAGAACAGAAACTTCTTTAAGATGCTGGAAATTTTAAAAAAATTCATCTGGATTGTGCTCATGGTAGCTGCTAAAAACATATTCCACTGGAAGCTCCCCAAAGATTTGTTGTATAGAGCAGTGGTTCTTAACCTTTGTTACTCAGATGCTTTTGAACTGCAACTCCCAGAAACCCCAGTCAGCACAGCAGGTGGTGAAGGCTTCTGGGAGCTGCAGTCCAAAACTCCTGAGTAACCCAAGGTTAAGAAACAGTGGTATAGAGCTGCGGTCCCCAACCTTGGGCCTCCAGATGTTCTTGGACTTCAACTCCCAGAAATCCTGGCCGGCAGAAGTGGTGGTGAAGGTTTCTGGGAGTTGTAGTCCAAAAACATCTGGAGGCCCAAGGTTGGGGACCACTGGTATAGAGCAGTGGTTCTTAACCTTTGTTACTCGGATGCTTTTGAACTGCAACTCCCAGAAACCCCAGTCAGGACAGCTGGTGGTGAAGGCTTCTGGGAGTTGCAGTCCAAAACTCCTGAGTAACCCAAGGTTAAGAACCAGTGGTATAGAGGATGCTCCCAAGAGGACCCTCATGGCACAGTGGTTAAACTGCAGTATTGCTGCCCAAACTCTGCTCATGATTTGGGTTCAATCCCGGGCAGCTGTTTCAAGGATGACTCAGCCTTCCATCCTTCTGAGGTTGGCAAATTGAGTACCCAGCTCATCTGGGGAGTGGGGGAGCTGTAACTAAATTGCAAACAGCCCAAAGAGTGCTCTCAGAACTATGGAACAATATATGAACTTTACTTTTTGTTTTATTTTCCAGGCATAACGGATAAGTTTACTTTTTTTTTTCCTGGCACAGTGCAAACAGCTGCTATCTATGAAACTGTGCCAGCCAAAATGTGGTGCTGACTAGGCACAGGCAAAAGTCAAAGAGTTTATCGTAGTTGTGCACTTGTCCTGATGCATATATTTTCTTCTAACACCTTAAGTTTAGATAGGATTTTGTTTCAATGTGAAACGCAAGAGTTCAACATACAGTATATTAGTGGCTAAAATGAATCTTCATCACTAAAAGGGCTTTCTTCTAGCTTTACCAGCATGCATACATGGTGCAAAGTACATCAGTGGGACTGAAATACGAGAGAAGTCTCTGGGGTTATTGCGATATTTGAAAATACTTTGCTATAGGGGTCAAATGACAGAAGAAAATGTTGTCTCCTACGATTATAAAATGTTCCTGCCTGGCATGCAGTTCCTTTAAAGCTTCATGCCTGAACAATCTGACTTGCTTTAAAAATGTATACAATCATATATTCAAAGCAAGTAATTTGAAACAAACAGAAGGAGACAAGCTCATGCTAATAATGAATACTGTATGATGTTGTCTACTTTGGGTTTTATTTTCATTCCAGTTACAAATAGGGAGTCAAATTGAGCCTGGGCTAAAAAAGTGAAGTTAAATAGAACAGAAATGTAACTTTTATTAGACATGGATGAGAATCAAGAATCATAAACTTGTAAATCCCAAAGCTTATTGAGCCCCGCTCCCAGCAGAAGCAGGAAATTCACCACTCAAGCTACTGTGACAGGCAGCTGTTAAACCTCCAGTTTAAAATGTTCTTTTATTTTCAACCTTGCATGCTCTCAATTGTCTGAATGACTGGGAGGAACTTTTCTGGTCTGTGGTGATTGAACTATCCAGCAGTAACCAATTGTTCCTTCCATCCAGCCTTTAAAATTCCAAGAGAGCCCTGCCTCTCTCCTGACAACTGTAGCAACAACACAATTCTCCTATAATTTTGCCTCTTACCAAGCTGTTCTGCTAAATGTTTCCCTCTGTCAGTGGAGATTACCCGTTCTTCTTCCATGTCGCATTTATTGCCGACCAAAATAACCTGGGCATTATCCCAAGAGTACGTTTTTATTTGGGTTGACCTTAGGAGAAAGAGAGAGAGAGAGAGAAAGAAGAATTGATCAGTCAATGAAAGGCCAAGGAAATAAGACTGGCCATATCATTAGGTGCGCTGAATCAGCCTGCCTTAGATTTCAACACACAATTAAAGGCCAGGAAATTGCTTCATTTGTACCTTCCACAACAGGTTGGTGCCATCTTGATTTTCTTTTTTAGTAACCCAAATACCACGAGACTTCTTTGCAGGCTTTTTTGTTGTTGAGAGCAGCCTGGGGAACATGCTGTAAGCTTGCCATATTATTAAGCTACTTTCATTCACAATATACACAGCCTGCACATCCAAGATAAGGTTTAAGAAAGTTGTTTTTGTCTATTCGTCATTCTAGGTAGAATATTCTGGGAACTGTAATTCAGAAAAGTAGCATGTTTGAGCTTTGATTCAAAACTGATCCATTTGGACGTAGCCATGTTATAGCTGATTCCCATGTTATTACTGTAGTGTTAATGAAGTAACTTTTTTTTTAGTAGAACTCTCAGAATCCCCTTGTCAGTTTGGCTAGTGGCCATATTGGCTGAGAGATTCTTGGAAGTGCATGAAGAAAAGTAAATTCCCCAAGTTTGGGGCATGAAAACTGCATCTATTCCCTTGTTCTAGTGCAGAAAGCAACTATATTATCCACCAGTCTGTCAATTCTTGGATATAAAGTTTTCTAGATGTCAGGGTGCCATATGAGACCTCACGGGGATTGCATGCTTCTCCTGACAGAGAAAAACCTTTCAGGGTGAGCATAAGCATGGGAGAAGAAAAAATATTTTATTTGTGGGGTACTTCTAAAGCTTGGACATTCATCTTCTTGGTTTCCCAGTTGGAACCATTTTCATTTTGCTGCCTGCCCAGCTACTTGAAAAAACATATTGGACAACTTCAAGGAAACCCAAGGGTGGTTTTTGTGGATTTTTCAAGCTGTTTGGCCATGTTTTGGGGGGTTTTCTTCCTAACATTTTTCCAATATCTATGACCAGCATCTTCAGAGGACAGGAGCTAGAATTCTGTCTGTGTTCTGTATTCTGTCTGTGAACACAAAACAGGGTTCTAACTCCCGTCCTCTGAAGATGCCGGCCACAGAGACTGGCAAAATGTTACAAAGAAAAACCTCCAGAACATATCCAAACAGTCCGAAAAACCATCAGATCCTAGCCATGAAAGCCTTCAAGAACACAAACACAAGGATTTTTGACCCCAACCGCCTGCCAAAACAAGGAATGACCAGTAAACCTTTGTTTAAAAACTTCCAGTGAAGATGCATCATGTGCTACTGAACTCCAAAATTTTTTCCAAGGCAACTTCATCTTTTAACAGCAGTCTAGGCTAGAGCTTGGGCTATTACAGGCCAAAAAGCCTTCCAGCCTGGCCTTTCTCCAGTTGAGTAGAATAAAGGTGTGGGTCTGGCAGGTGAAACTCCCAGAATGGAGAATCAAAACTGAATTAAAATAAAAATGAATGGTGTATATTTATGAGTCTGCCTCCTTCTGAGGTAGTTCTTTGAAAAGGATAATATAGCTTCCTTAAGGTTTAAAAGCTATTTCCAGAAAAATAAGACCCATAGCAATAACAAAAAACCATTAAAAAATAGAAGTTTCTAATTTGCCCTCTTCTTTTAATATCAACTGTTCATTTCCTCAGAGCAGAGCAGAGCTAAGATCCCAAAAGTCAGCAGAGGATAAAATTAAAGTTTCAGGGAGGTCATCAAATCAATGATTAATTTAATTTTAGACCTGAAGGGGCCTCAAGCTTCATCAAGTCCAGCACCCTGCCAAAGAAGGCTATGCAGTAAGGTGCATAATATCAGAGCTTGGAAAAACTCCATCCCCCTTTTAAAAACTAATAGCTTCCATAATCACCAAGCCAACATATTTAGCTAGCAGTTCAATTTTTTTTCCTTCATACTATTTGGAGAGAGCACTGCAAACAGACTTCAGCTGTTTGTTGCCTGCAAGATGACTGACCAAAACAATGTCACCCCTGTTTTGCATCATATTTCTAGTTCTTTCAGGGTTAAAGACTTATTTCCTCCACCACCTTATGAAAGCCTGGGATCTAGGACGGTTGATAGGCTGAACAGGGCTTGTCTAAATCCTGGGTAAACCCCCCCCCCAGCCAAATGGATAATACAGTGACCTTTTTAAAAGAGGGGTTCTAGAGATAGGCACAAACCATCTTGGGTTCGGTGATTCGTGCTGTTTCGTTTTTCAGCTGAACACGTGTTCAGCACTTCCCAGCCCCACCTCCTCTGGTGGGTGCCCCTCAGAGGCAGTGGGTGGAGGAGGTTGCGCAGGGAAGCCGGGGCACTCTGGGAAACTCTGAATACCTGCTCAGCCTAGAAAAAGAAAAAAAAAATAACCCCAAAATAAACCAGCCGTTTGTGCCCATCTCTAGTGCGTTCAGGGGTATCAATATGGTCTTTAAACTTTCCCCCTCTAAATGTTGTTTATTCCTGTTGTACAGCTTAAGGTGTAATGTTTTTGAATGGATGAACACATGGTTTTGTATACAGAAACAAATTTATGCAGTAATAGATACTTTATAAGTAGGTCCTCCAGTTTTGCATTGCTGTTTGAACATTAAATACTAGCAAAATGTACTTTTTTCAAAAAAAATGTAGCAAGGTCTGGCATGATTGTCCTGTGCTGTGTTATTTCAAGCACAACATAAGGAAGAAAAAGCAGAGAGAGATTGGTGGTAAGAGTTCTATTAATGTTAAATATTTAATTTTATTATGTACCATTACTTTAATGACAGCAATCATAAATCCGGTTGGGTAGGAATACTTCTCTCACACACACACTCTGAACCATGCTGAGTTCTTTAAGAATCTGCAGTTAATCATAACATGGCAAATAGCTTTTACAAAAGATGTACCGGTCACCATGGTAACCTTGTAAATGGCCATAGCTCAGATCCCTCACTGTGTCAACCTGTTAGCAGCTCTAGACAAATTCATTTTTGGATTATTGGCATAACTATATTCCATTAACAAATGAAAGATGTTTAAAAGATGTAAGAGAACGGAAGGAATTCAACAATTTATCAGAAGCAGAAATGTGGCAATTTTTTTTTAAAAAAAATCACTTTTGATTATTGCCAAAGGGTTTCTGTGATTCAAAAGGGCATGCAGTGCCTATAAATGGTATGTATATTTCAATTTTCTTAGATTCTTTCACTCAGTGTTTGATTGAGATGACTGAGAATTCTATCTCTGAATTTTTCTGTAAGTTCTGCTGAAATACAATTCTGTTGGAGTTTTATTTACAAGCTTGAATGCTGTCTGTAGTTTGAAAGAACAGGAGGGACCAATAGTTCCTTCCAGCTTTTGAAGTTCAAAGAGAATCCTGCCTCTCTGCTGATGTTCTATCCCTCTATTTTGTTGATTGGTAGCAACTGCTTGCTGCTGTTAATCTGTTTGGTTGGTCACTGGTATGTGTGCAATAAAGAAAGCAATGTACACAAATCAGTAGTTTCAAGCAAATGTAAGCAAAAAAATTTTGTAAAAAAAAATTGTCCTAAAAGCATCTCAGAGTGAATTATTAAGACTTTAAGTGCTAGTTAATAAGAAAGCGGTGGGCTCTTTGGAACTTGTAGTTAAAGTCTTCTGTGGATCTTTATACTTCTACTGTAAAGAGAATTTTACCAAAAATTCAAAACTCTGCAATGGAAACATGGCTGATATATTGAAATGTTGTTTTCAATGTGACTATATATATATGTTTGGGGATACCCAGTGTATTTAATAGACAAAGTGACAGACTAGGACTGAGGGGACCTGGATTCAAATCCCAGCTTGGCCGTAGAAGCTTACTGTGGGACTGGAACTGAAAAAAAAATCCTTAAATATCTCACTTACCTTGAAAGCTCTATTAGAGCAATTGTAAGTTGATTCTGACTTTATGGCACATAACATGCCTCTTTACAGTTCTGTTGCATATATTTTCTTGCATTTTCAGTTGGCATTTTTATTTTAATCACACATATTTATTGTAGTCCTCTTGTTTTATTGTGTATATTTATGTAAATTAGGTGCCTTTTGTAGCACAAGGCATCACAAGGTTTTCAGTGCTGTGTATCATCATGACTGTAATCAGCCATGATGATAAACAGCTATTTAATTTTGTGTAAATCGTAAACAGATCTGAGCGGGCACTTGATTAAATATTTACATTGTATTTCTAATTTATTTCTCTTATTATATTCCAATTTGTATATTATTTGACTCAAATTTTGTTGAGACCTATGTCTGATCTTTTGCTTGTTAGACTGTTTTTTTAGTTGTTAATATCCCTGGAGCCTAACATTCCCAAATTTTAATTTTTTTAAAAAAAAAAGCACTGAAGGATATGAAGAGGTTTTTTGAGTTTTAAAAAAATATTTTAAAAAAATGCTTCCTTGGGTGAGGAGGCACTCCTTGACAATCACTCCTTTCATATATGAATCTCTCTTTGGATTCTTAATGCTTTCAGCACTCACTTATGAGACAGACACTTGTTCAACATGGTACTATTTAGGACTTGTTGTTTACCTACTGTTAGTCTTGGGCAGAGTTCCCAGGTTGGCCACTTGTAGAGTCTTAAGATATTCAAGAAAGGATCTAAATGGGCAGCTTGCCAAACTCTAAGGCTCATTATCTGACCATTGAGAAACCTTTCAATCTTGCCAAAACCAAGTGAGATTCACTTAACAACTACAATATGTAAGTCCCAAGAACATATTGCAGGGTTTTGAATTTTCTGATTAAATTCCTCTAGATGTACAGCAGAAAAACAGGGACTGATAGAGAAGAATAGCTTCAAGTTCCCCAGCTCAATCCACCATCAACTGGCACTTATAGTCTCAGTAACTCACTCTGAGACATAAGTAGGGGAAAGAATAAAAGTTTTCAATCACTCACAGTTGAACAGATATACAATCTGAGCAAATGGCTGGCTGACTTTCAGCCACAGGCCACAACAGACTACTTCAGCAGACGGA